AAAAGATCCCAACTTTGAAGGAAAGAAACAAAGTAGGCTAAAAAGTTTTATCTAACTACTTTAACTTACCAGAATGAAAATGCAGGGAACACACTCTCAATGACATTGGAATACTGTGGAAAGTTATGTTCGGTCGTCTTACAGCCGCGATCCAAGCTAGCCGACGACTATTTATCTCTGACACTTGGTCTCCATGGTTACGCCTCCAGGCAGGAAAGCGGTGGAAAGTTAACCCATTTTCTATGTTGTCCCCATGGCGATCATGTGTTGAGCTGTTACAGCCCACAATACAGCAACGGTTTACCATGGTTGAAATCAAGTTAAGGTGAAATTAATCAAATTAAAACACGGCTGAGAGGGAGTACAGTACCCGGTAGTCGTAGGCAGTAGTCTGAGCCGCGGTAAAAGAGGCATTCAACATGGCGGCGACGCAAAGTGGTTACGTCATGACGACCAAGCCCTATTGACAAAAATAATCCATGCCTGTCAAGTCTTCGGATCCTTGAGAAGACTGTGAAAAATATTCCCCTTTCTCTTTTTTTATATACTCCAATAATCCCAGAGGAAAAAGTACTTCTCTGCATTTGGGAGTGGGGGATTGAACTCACAACCTCAGGATTCAAAGCCCTATTCCTAACCACTAGGCCGCCATTCCCACAAACACTGCACACTGCATATACACCTATGGTCCTTGCTCAGTTTCAAGTGAGAAACTGCCTGCTTTGTAATTCTTGTAGAAGTAAACCCAACTGTAGGCTAAACAGCTAAACCGGTGTCTTACATCTTTCTCTATTCATGTTCTTGGGCCAGTAAACCAATGGGCTGGTGTGTATGTCAATTTCGGGGCCTGACAAAAGTACAGGGCATAACCAAATAGGGCAACTTTGTTTGAATTTGCCTGTTTTATGGTGGAAGTTTAGAATTGTGAGATTTGCAGAGAAAGGAGGTGTCAGTGGGGTTTGAACTTCTCTGTATCTCCATTTCACCCACTGAACTATTGTTATTCATTTATGACAATGTAATCTCGGTTTTGCATTCTATGACCCCATTTAAAAATGGAAGCTGGGATTATTCCAGGATCCAAAGGTTTGTTTCTGTTTTCAGTCAAACTTCATTTAGGGGTTTTACCTCCAATGTGCTTCCAGTGTTATACCAAGGCTGCTTCTGGAGCTGGTTTTGTTCTGGTTCTTTCCATCTCTTCCAGTAAATGCTTGATCCTGGCTCTTAATCTCACCATCAGAGGAAGTTTGAACATTTCTATCTAATCTTTTCTGTCCTGTTTCTTGTTTGTTTCTCCAATCTCTCTCTCAACCTTTATTTAACCAGGAAGTCCCATTGAGATTCAGAATCTCTTTTTCAAGAGAGACCTGGCCAAGGTAGCAACCAAACCCCTGGAAGTTCATACATATTTACAACATATTACATTTTTCATAATACAAAATAAAAAAAATAAAAAATAAAAATTTTAAAAATAAAAAAATAAAATCAGAGCAGTATGTTAAAACACATTGAGCATCTCAAGAAAAACAAGCACATATCTCCATCACTACATTCTTCATGGTTGCTTTAAATTCATTAATGGACACGAGAGTTTCTAATTTGAGCTCTTTCTGGAGGTTGTTCCATCCCCAAGGTGCAGAGTAGGAGAATGCAGTTTTTCCCAACTCAGTTGAAGCTCGGGGTTCATTAAAAAGTAACCACTGAGAGGAGCGCAACTGATAACTACCAGAACTCACAGAGAGGAGGTTACAGAGGTACAGTGGGAGTTTACAAAGTATTTCTTTATAGATAAAGATATACCAGTGCTGTTTTCTACGAATTTTTAGTGATGTCCAACCAACTAGATCATAAAGAATGCAGTGATGAGTAAGGGACTTAGAATTTGTAATGAATCGAAATAATGCACGGTACACTGAGTCAATATGATGCAAGATGGAGGATGCAGCATGCATGTACAACATATGTCCATAATCAATCACAGACAAAAAGTAGCTTCTACAAGTTTCTTCTTAGCACTGAAGGCAAAACAAGATTTATTTCTGAAGTAAAAACCAAGCTTTACTTTATGCTTCTTCACTAATGTATTGATATGTACTTTAAAAGAAAGCTTATTATCTATCCATATTCCCAAGTACTTGTATGAAGACACTCTCTCAATGGATTTCCCATCTAAGGACAAGATACTACAATTGTCAAGTAGCTGTGATCGAGCTTTTGAGAAAACCATAAACTTTGTTTTCTGTGTATTTAAAACCAATTTTAAACTTAATGTCTTTTGTAATGCCTGAAATGCAACCTGAAGTTCCTGTACAGCCCCTAATTTAGTTTTACTTTCTCTGATCTGAACAGTTTTGTCCATTAGTCCCTGATAAACAGGCTTCGTCCTCATATTCTGTGGGCTGCGAAGTTCAGGATTTCTGGAACTGATTAGTGATGAAAAAATGATGTTGTGAGTGGAGGTGCTGTTTGAACTGCCCAGCTTGTTGTTCAGTTCCTCACTGTTAGTATCTTCTATGGTTTAATCAGCCAAATCAGTTTCCAATATGACCTCTAATGAGACTTTTCCTAAATAAACATCATTCGAGATTATCTGCGGCTGAACTGCAGCTGATGAAAATATTGGAGAACAAAACAGGATTTACTGCCAGTTTTTTAAGTCTTATTTTGAAAATAAATGTGACATTTTAACAAAATAATTTTTGTCTGTTTCATCCAGTTTTTTATTTCATAATTAGTAATGAAAAAAAAATCTAAGAAGTTTTTTGTAATGAAGTGTGATTTATTCTTTAATTAAACAATATTATTTAGTGTATGTATATAAATTATATATATATATATATATATATATATATATATATATATATATATATATATATATATATATATATATATATATATATATATATAT